AAAAAAAAAAAAAGAGGAGGCGGTAGAGCGAAACCCGGCGATGGGGGCTGGCAGTCGGCCAGATAAAACACGAGCAGCACGGCAGCCGCCTCACGTGTCCCGCACCGGCCCGGCCGCGCCACCACCGCGGCTTTAAAGGGCCAGGCCGGGCCCGGCACTCATCGTCCCGCACGCGCCCGCGGCCACGCGCCGAGCTGCGCGGCCGCTGCACGTGAGCGCCCCGCCAAACAAAGGCGGCCGGGCCGGGACGTGCCCGCCGAGCAGGCACTGCCATCGCGGCGCGGGCTCGGCGCCTCGCCAGGCGGCCCCGGCGCGGTAAGATGTGGGCGGTGTAACCCGGCAGTGGGTCGGAGCTGTCCTGCTGGGAGGGTGACGGCACGGGGAATGACCTTGCGGAGAGCCCTGCCCCGACATTGTGCTTCCTATGAGCATGGCGGGGCCGCAGGCTGCACCTCTTCCCAGAGCCCGTGGGCAGGATGTCCAGCACAGCCCTCTCCCTCCGCCGGTGTTCGGTCCTCTCCCGTTCAAGCCACGACTAGGCGCCCCTCCACTGTGGCAACGAGATGGCCACAAAGGCGTCCCCAAAGAAAACTTTCACACCTGGGCTTCATGTGCAACTCAGGCATTTCCTCCAGTCCCACTCCTCCCGCAAGGTCTTGCACTTTGACTGACAGCCAGTCCTGTAGTAACTGACCGGTGACATCCTTTCCATCTGAGCGCAGGAGAGCGCTCAGAAGGAAAAGTTGCATTATCGTATATAATACTGAAGAGGGCAGAGATACTGCTGCAACACTCCTTGTGCAAGCTATCGAAATACAGCCAGTTTTCTTGACACCTTATAAATTCTTATGTCTATTGATAAATGAGGAAACAGGCAGAAAGTTACTACAATCAAACATACACAGTCATTGACCAGAAGGACTGTGCTGAGGAGACAGCTGAGTTATTTTCTATGGAATAGCAAAAGTACACTGCAGACAGATGGGCTAAAGAAAGAGTAATCCTAGAACACTTCTTAAGGCTGAAAATATTGCCAAAGTGTTCTTAATCCAATCAAGAATCCCAAAGCCTACGTCACTCCCATCCCCAAAAACAACCAGCTATGGAAGATAGATACAGTCCACTTGTTAAATCTAACAGCTATCAGAAAAGCCCTGTAGTCCCATTGCATTTTGTAAAATATTCAGTTCCCAACACACCATAAAGAAATCCATAGAGCCTCACTTTCTATACATCAAAAGAATAAGCTGCTGTATGCAATCGGGATTTCAAGTGGAGGTGGTGAAGTCTTCAGTTAAAAGTACAGCAGCACATAACTTTTATAACATCCATTAAACTCTTTAAAGGATATTAATGTGTCCATCTCTCTGGAAGAAACATGCAATTGGAAAAAGCCTGTTGCTTCAAAACATCTGTCTCTACAGAATAATCCTATATGGGCTATTCATTGTTCCACTAGAATTCCCTTGAGCAGTTCTAGTAAAAATAGTATAGTTCAAAGACTTTTTACATACAGCCATAAGTATGATATCAGTATTTCTAAGTTCACTATTTGAAAGTTGTGCTGGACAAGAAAAGCCTTGATGCTTGCACTGTGCCCGGCACAACAGAGTTTGGGTTTTTCTACAGTCTGACTACAGATTCACTATCATAGTAATCAGTATTTAAGATCCAAACAACGATGGATCTTTAATTTATTTGAAACGATCCTGATTCCCCCCTTAACCAAAAGTGCTTAGACAATAAATCAATGTGATATTTCTTATGGCAACTCTGTGGATACAAAGCCGGCTAGACTAATCAAAACACTTGTTCTTATGTCATTTATATACAGAGTACCTTAACCCACCATGGCAACCAGAACCCAGAAAGCCTGACTTCCTCAAGCAGCTGATGGAAGCCGAGGAGCCAGAAACAGCTCTTTGTTTTTTTCCAGGTTCCTTCCCAAAGGAAGGTAGCTGTTCCTACCACTGTTCTAATCCAATCTCTGACAGTATAGCTGTATTTGCACAATATTCAGTGCAAACACCAGCAAATACAACTGTATAATTAATCAAAGGGACTACTGCAAGGACACTAGAGTAGACATGAGCTACTTTCCATCAGCTTTGGTCTGGGATTTAAGCTTTGGTCTATTAACAGAAGTATTAATTATCAGTGCTTTTATTTTTTTGTTTTCTGGAACCATTCATAATAGCATAGGAAATTTATAGACATAAAATCTGGCCTGATTTCTAGTCTCCATGAGTCTTAAACTCAGGACATTTCCAAAGAAATCAGAGGAATTTCCTGGAAGATTAAGAAGACAATGAAAAATAATGTGCAGATTTTGCTACCAAACCCAGAACATTTATAAAGAGGCCATTTGTTATTCCGTAATCAGTGTAATGGCTTGTAGAGGGTTAATTGGCGTCTCTTCCCAGAGGAGATTTTTTAAATTGTACATTCTAATAGCAGCAGTAATATTTTGCATCAGAACAAAGAACCAAGGTTGCCAGAAAGTGTCTTTTAGAAAGACAGAAAATTACAGGTTAAACAGCCTTTGGAGATTATAAATAGCAATAATAAATATCTTCCCTTGGTCACTTCTTCATCTATTTCCTTTCTCAAAAGCCCACGGCTGCAGAAGAAACCATTCTGTGTGGTCATGGGAAGATGTCACCTATAGATAGCAACCTAACATAACCCATACATAAGTACTACTAACTCCCACCAGTGGAAGTCTGTGAGCTGAGATGGTCTCAGCTGGTAGTGCTTTGCACAAGGAGAGAACTTTTTTATTTTTTACAAGTTGCTGCTGAAGGTCTGTGATGCCAGCTATGTGATAGAAAGTGTGTCACCAATTTCATAATGCCCACTGACCATGTACATAGGAGGGCAGAGTCAGGACACTCCTCTGTTCTGCACAAGAGGGTCCCTTTTTCTCCACCCTAGTTCTCAAGGAGTACACACTGCTCAAAAGGGTCACTGATAGTAATTTAAGGCCTTAGCTCAGGAGAAGCAGCAATTTTTTAACTCTGAAAGAGATCTCTTGCCAGGAATGGGAGAGCAGATGGCAAAATTCGGAAGAAATTTTTTGACTCCATATTTCAAGAAGCTTACAGCTCTGCACTGCCTCAGAAAACTCCTTAGAGGAACAGCCTTGGCCTACTAGGGCTAGAGGCTGCCATGTCTGAAGGTTTGTATTTTGTGTGGGTATTTCACTTCTGTGGCCAGAGAAGCCAAAGATATTTATGTAGTTTAAGGCTACAATGGGTACTCAGGGACCTGGGAATCCTGATACTCTGCTGCTAGAGAACCAGTCAGTGCAGGAGAAGTACATCTTGATCTTGCAAACATTGCCTATATTTGTGGGAAAAGCTAATTTTTGTTTTCCCTGGTTCTTTCAGAATGTGCTGTCTGTGGGGATACAAGAGAGAGAAGTGCAGACACATGAACCTTGAGTGCACCTATGAGATGGGCCAGGGTGTATCACCATTCTTCTACTCTTTTCATCCAGCTGGTGGGACCAACAGTGGCTGTTGCTTCATAATCAGCAACCTGGAGATGGCTCTGAGAATGCTTTAGGGAAGCATGACTGTGACTGACAAAAAAAGACCCAGAAAAGAGCATTAAGACTCACTCTCAGGCTTTGTCTGCACTGGGGAATTTCTTCTTTCCTCCAAATTCCCATCATTGCCAATGTAAGTGCAGCTGCACAATTGTTAGAAATCTTGGGAGGCATAATGTATGCGTTTTCATCTAGTCAGCCATTTGTAGCACTGTGTCAATTAACCCTCTTCAGAGCAGAGTTAACTGATACAGTGCTGAAAACAGCTGCTGGAACGGAAAGCTGTCTATACTAAGGTTCCCACTGTTGCTAACTCTGGTGCAGCTGCAATGGAATCAGTCCACATGGGATTGTTTGGTAAAAATTCTCCAACCTAGAAACTGCTTCAAAATGCAACATAGCCACCTAAGCATTCACTTCCACTGCACCTCAACAGCTATGCACCCAGACTGTCACCATTCACAGTGGGATT